GGTCTGTGCTCGCTGGTTATCAAGGTGAACTAACTATTTAACCTAATTTTATTTTACCAGTTTCTCAGTCATTTTTAGAAGCGACCTGGTCATAGATGATAACTGAAACGAAGTCGCTTATCACGTGGAAATTTACATCAGCCAAATAATCTAAACGCATGTTTCCAAACGTGGAGGGGAAAAAAAAACGAAGGACCCGGAGAAAAATCCACATTACCACGGGCGATAAAGTCGCGCAAACTCCAAATATACAGCAGCAGGTGTTATGGTCGGGATCTAACCCACGACCTTCTGTATACCAGGCGAGGTAGTTCACATCTGTGATGTCCCGATGTCCTGGCGCAACCCCGCAGGCCCAGCCTGGCTGAGAAACTCCAAATCCTCCTCACGGCGCTTCTTCTCGATATCGCTTTAGGGCGGCGGATAATTTCCAACATTCTCCAACGTGATGATCATTGCTCCGTGTGATCAACATTGTAGGAATGTTGAGGGTCCCCTTAGCAGGCACCCCGTGCTGTAGGCGACTCAGAGAGACGTGGGGGTCGACGCAGTCGCTCAAATTCGCCCTGAATGCCGCCCGATTCCGTCGGATTTCGAAAGCTAAGCACAGGTTGAGCCTGGTTCAGTACTTGGTTTGAAAACTTCCCGTTGTCAATGAGAGTTTCATGAGGTGGTTGAGGAGACGAAAGCACAGTCAACGGATCCGAAGACTATCGAAAAAGTTCGAGGCTTTGTGAGTTCACCCTTTGCGAGCGTACGATGAAATTCCTCCTTTCGGGACTATACTTTCCTCCAACAAACTAAGCAAGTATCGTTTGAAAATAATAATGATTGTCGTTGTGCAGAATATAATACTTAAAATTGTATATAGCGTCATTCAAGCTAATGCCATCGCACAACGCTATGCATTAATTTTATATAAGGACCAAATCCCCCCAAAAAGCATGATAAATAATCACTCGACATGCCCACCCCTCGCTCCACCCACACATCCGTCTGCACACAAGCAATCGAATAACAATATTCTTACACAACCTATCTATCAGCCGCACGGCCCTGTGGGAACGCGTAACTTCAGCAGCGTGGCTCCGAGACAAGCAAACTGTCGACCGGCTTACGACGTCCCAGTGTCTCATCAGCAGAGTCGGGGCTGCCTGAATTTATTCGGACGAACTGCCAATCCTATACAGGGAAAAGGGCCAAATCTCTCCACGCAATGGGGGTGGGAGGGGGGGCATCTGTAACGCGAAACCATATAATGCACAACTCAAAATAATCATTAGCGCCGTTGTAAATACTATAAATCAAATAGATAGATATCCGTGTCCAAATAAAAGAAATACAAAATGAAATTAAAATGTTCATTGCGTGAGTCAAACACCCAGAAATATCAGGGCGCTACCGAAACAGTCGTGCAACTTGGATACGTTTTCATATGGGTAAAGCTATTATGATGATTATAATTATTACATTATTTTGTTTTCATATTACAGAATCGATTGAAGAAATGAGAGCCCCTGGGTTTTGTTTTTTATGCGAGATGTCAAGGAGGGAGCTGATTGGATCCGCGCGGAGGGTGCGGGCGGATGGGTGGGGCCAACCAACGTCAATTATCATCGACAGATATCGGCACAAAACAAGAGATAGATAGATTTATTATAGATAGATTTATTATAGATAGATTTATTATAGATACAAAAATGTATTTCAGCAAGAAAGACCCAATTAGCTGCTAGGGTCTATTTCAACCAAGGGCCCTGCACCGTATCACTTCCACGATCCGCATTACCTCCATGATAATAATTTTATTTTAAATCTCGTCATTTATGCTAATTACATCCCACAACGCTCTACATTAATTATATACAAGGGCCACATCATATTTCCAGCAAGCAACTACCAAGCAAATGAAAAGCCTCAGACAATAAACATTAATGAATAAACTGGTACCAAAACAAGAGAAAGCACAAACAAACACAAGGTGATCACAAGAGAGAAATTAGCCCATTAAGTCTCACCATCCCAGACCACATTCCCAACTTCTCACACTCGAGCCAGGAGACGCTCACAGGAGGCGGCAGTGGTGGAAAGTGGCCAAACAAATCTACGACTGACTGAGACCAATCGGTCAAATGTCCGAAATGGGATTTCCTAATTTTTCAGCGTATTTCCCGATGAATAACCAAAACAAAACGTATTGCAATGGTCAATTGTGTTTTATACCAATAACCAAAAAAGTGTGGCAACCGCTGTTACCGCCGCCGCTGTCCAACACACAAAGACGACAAAGATCCCTCGTACAGGTCAAGGACAGTGCATATCATTATCAGAGTTGTTTCTTTTTGTTTGCATTTGACTGCTTGTGTTGTGGTTATTGCAAACATGATCCCTTGTATAAAGGTGTCAGTTTTGTACCAGTTGAAAGGGTAAAAACCTATTACTACTATAGGTTAAACAGACATTCGGGGCAAGTGCTGTTGGCGAGCACCTAGAAAGACCGGCACAGTACACGAGCGGGTTGGTTGGCCAGCGCCACGCCCGACCGCCTTTGTCTTCCCAGTGACATTGTTTCCACCACGCACCAGGTACTCATTTGAGGCCGAGTCGACCTACACACTAAGGCAGTAATTATAATATATTCTGGGGGGACAAATCCCCCCCCCCCAATATTCAAATATGCTCAAAATACCCCCCAATATATTGCTATGAAAAAATAATTGCTATGCTATGTAAATAAAAACAACAATTTGCTAAACCTTGGCCACAATATCTGGACTTGTCTTCATATAAATCAATGCATAGATTGCTGTTCATATGATTGTGGTTATGGTCGTACTTAATGAATCCCTAATCTCTGCCATTACATACAATGAAACAAGAAATGGTAAAAAAAAGTTCAAACAGAGCAATGTAATACAATACACTATTAGACATTATTGCAAATAATAAATCAAAAGTCCATCCCATGTGTTAGTGATTTTTTAAATATTTTAAGGCAGGAAATGAGTTTTCAAATTTAGTTATGTTTCTGGGTTGGGACCCCCCAGACACCCTGGAAGATTTGGTCCCCCCCCCCAATGTTGACTCCATGGCTACGGCCTTGCTCCACACACACACTCACACGCACGCACACACGCACACACACACGCACGCGTACTGTATCTCCTCCACCAATCGCCCCTAGTGGTGGCGAACGGGAATGAGTGGAAGGAATGTGGCGATTCGCTTGTCGGTTTTTATTTACTGATTACAATATCTCACCGGGATAATCCCTTGAGATGGAACAGCTCGTTCGCAAGAATGTTCAAGGTTGTCATGTGACACATACACAGCAGACACCCGGTGACACGTGGACGAATATCTGACAACAATGCAGTCGACGCCGGTATGAAGCTTCTTGCTGGTTCTTTTTTGCAACGTTGTTTAGGCTGGCTCTGAGTAGGCATTGTTGGCGTAAGGCACTACCACTAGAGTACAAAGTATAGCCATCCAGACTGATCCGATATTATTGTACACCAATATTTTAATTTAATCCGACGAACATGTTTTGCAAATGTTACGAGGACAACATACGGCGATGATGTAGGATCCGGCGTTTCGAATCATTTAATGAATACCGTCTCGGACTGTTCCGGCTGTAATTAAGTGTCAAAAACCATGAACAATAGCTGCAAGACAGCGCGCATGAACGTCTCCCAGGCAATCGAACGCACAAATACAAAGCGAACATCGTCAGCATCATTATCATCACCAGCAGCCATGGTAAATCCACTGAAGGACGAAGCCCTGCCAAAATTGCCACCACCTCTTGATTCCGCGATGTAGTAATCTAACCGGTCACCTGCGCGCGGATAGATTTCATCGCTCTGTTTACAACCGGTAGACGACCTTTCTCGCACACATTCCGTCCCGTGGCTGTCACTCCGTTATCATTCCGGGCCATCGTTCCTCGTTACTTTTCTTCACAGTTCGGATGGTGTCCTTTTTAACCCACGCGTGTTCTCTGACCCGTACTTTTATTCCTCTGTGTAATGCCATGCCACGCGTCTACCGACGCTAATGTGCAAACTTGCAAAAAAATCGTACCGATGAAGGCTGTGGTGACCAACAGCCACGCCCGACCTCCTTGCCAAAGGGACTCATTTGAGGCCGAGTAGACGTAGGAGAGGCCCGTGAGTGGTTCCAGCATTCGCCACCGCTATTGGTGTTGAGCGGCAGCCACCCGAGTTGGATTCCCCGCTTAAGATACATAACGCGCGCGCGCACGCGCACACGCGCGCGCGCGCAGCAGTTGCAAATTCCGTTTCGCACGCTTGCATGACTTCCGCGCGGGGCGGGCATGCGCCGCGCGCGCCATATATCAGACGGCAAACGCGACGAATCGTACGGTCCCTCGACTCGACGTTGCACGTAAAGGCACTGTGGGGGAGGGGGAGGGAGCCGAGCGGGGGGGGGGGGTCGGTGGGGGGGGGGTATAAACGTTATTTTTAGGAGGGCACGCAGTGTTAGTCCCTTTTTTTTACAGCAGACGGGACCTGTTGAAGTTGAGTTCAGCGTGTTTTACGCGGTCTCCATAGGGCCACGCTTCTCAAAAGGCACGTGTGCTAAGGAAGCCGTGTGTCTCCCGTGCTGGCTTGCCCGCTCTCTTCTGCCTTAAACAATGCTGGGTTTGACAACATGTTTTTTTGGCCGGGGGAGGTGTGAATACACGTGTGCACGCGCGCGTGTGTGTTATGAAATGTTGTGGGGGTGGGTGGGTGGGGGGTTGTAGCGGTTAGGGCGCTACGCTACGAACCCGGTGAACAAAGTTCGATTCTTTCCCGCTCACGACAACCAACACCTGTGACGATTATCTGAACCGGTCCTGGGCTTCTCTTAGGTCGACTCTGCCTCAAATGAGTGCCAGGTGCGGTGTGTAAACACCGCCACTATGGAGACAAAGGCGGCCGGGCGTCGTGTTGACCACCCACCCTCTCGTGTGACTTGCAGGGTGTTTCTGGCTACCAACACTTGCCCCAATAGTCTGTTAAGGCTACACGGGGAATATTTGTCTTGCAATGAAATGTCAGGTTAGTGCCTTGTGGCTGTACGCGGTCTGTCACGATTAGCGTGATCGTTGTCGTCTTCTTCTTACGCGACAGATAATGTCACACAGACCCGAACCTCACCCACACACGTGCAATCGTCACCACTAAAGTAACACACACACGTATAAAATACACAATTCCACAAAAATTACAGACATTTGAGGCTGAGTCGAACTAGAGGAGGTTCCAATGCCGATACAGATACTCGTCACCGATGTTGGCTGTGGGTGGAGATTGAACTCGGGTGTCCGGGTTAGTAGCGCGGTGCGCTAACCACTGCACCGCCGCTCCCCACACAAAAAAAACATAACATACGCACACTCAAACATCATTACTCAAAAAATATGACACACTCCCAAACAAAAACACACAAATGTTACACACACTCAACCTTCATCACACAAATAACAGACGCAAATGTTGTAATAATTATAATGCCATCCATAATACAGGTTTTGCTGGGCTAGATCGCGTAAATATATTTGTAGCGAAAGCCTACGTGTTACATTCTAATGCGAGTCTACTTTCCACACCTACCACGCAACCTGGTAAAACCTCAGTGAGGCACCCATCCCAATCCTAAACGGGATCACCTCTTCTTAAGCATCCGAGATGGGGCGGTTATTGAGAGTGATTTTGGTCGCAGACAAAAATGCGAAACCGTACCATCGAACCGTATCACCACCACATCACAAAGGCTCACTCACCAAACCGTCGTCACCCGCATTATAAATTATTCACCACAGTCGCCGATGAATGATTGCATCTGAAATCGGGGGGGAGGGAGGGCGGGTGGTAATATCACTGCAACGCAAACAACGAAAGCGAGTTGATGTAAAAAAGCACACACACACATACAAGAACCCCTAACCAACACAATAATCACAATTCACTTACATCTCTGACAACCCAGACACTTTGCCTACGATGTAAAACGATAACGACAACGACCGCACGAAAGTTGCATCACATTCGCAGACGCACGCACACATTCACAACAACAACAACCGCCATTCTCGACTAAGTTGCGGTGACATCAGCACGGCGCTCGTGCCAGGCTATGTGCACACACACACACAACATCGGCCGCGTGACAATGCCACCACTGCCAGCCACAACCCAACAGACAACAATACCATCACCAAGGCCGTCTTTAGCCGTGTATGGCTCCGACTCGCGGTGCCTCGTCAAGGATATATACTGCGAGGGGGGGCGCGAATAAACGATGCAGGCGCAGCAGCGCTCGCCCACGACCGTTTCGCTTTTCCACCACAGCTCATTGTCAAGGATGGGGAACCGACCCCCCCCCACCACCACCACGGCGCGTCTCCGCCGTCATCTCCTCTTGCCTGCGTCTCTCTCGAGGGCTCCTCGAGCATCGCGGGCTCGCTCGACTTGCACACACCACACCCCCCTCCGCCGCCCCCGCATTAAAAGAATGAATGTTTACCATAAATCTGCATTTCCATTATCGGCCGGATTTACAGCCTTCATTACAAAGATAACGCGTGCGCGTTCAGAGGCGCGCCGTGCCCAGCAGCCGCGCGCAGTGCGCTGTGCGCGCGCGAGAGAGAGGGGGCGATCTGCGAGCGCGCAGATAGCCTTGCGCGTGCACACAGACACACACATGTGCGCGTACACACACGTATCTATATCGGTGTAGGAGGATGGTTGTGTAATGTGTGTGTATACCGGTGGTGGGGTCGAGCTCGAGGAAAATGTCACGAGGAGATGTTTTCGATGTTGTGTTAAAGGCTTTTGAACGAACGTGCGATGATCAGCTCACGCGAAGCCGCCGCTCATTTTTTTTGTTTTGCGGGGGCATGACCGCACGGGGAAGATCAAATTGCAGTCCGTGTGCTCGAATGCGTAGAATCCCCCCACCCCCGCCCCCCTTCAAGTGAAGCAAGTTCGATCGCGCATCGTTACGTTGAGAGAAATCGTCACACAACAGCACAGCGCGAGAGCCCCCTAAACACAAGCGCACGAACGAAGCCTTCTTCCGATTTAGCCTAAATAATAATCCCGAAAACATAACTTTGGTACCTTTCACATGAACCGGACGTTTCAATTGTGTTTCAAGATGACTCTACGCTTGTTGTTCCGTGAGCGCTTTTATAAATAATCATCCGACGATAAATTATGATGAATGCTACACGCCGAACGTGAGATCTCTTTTCGGGGTTGTTGTTTTTTAAGATGAAAAAAAAAACATAAACAGGGGCAGGCACATCGCTTTGGCATCACCTCCGCACGCTTACGCGCCATATTGATATATGGGAATTTCTGCTATCGATCACATGACCCGCCCAGTGGCCGGCTTGCCTGCTTGCAGATAAATTACGTGTCATCTCTAGGAGAACGCTCAACCTCCACCCCTCATCCCTCTCCCCCTCCGCCCCCAACAACCCCACACCCCTCGACCCAGCTCCCCTTTTCTCCTTCTCATCCACACCCCCCACCAGCATAACCACCACCTCCTCCTTCTCCACCCATCTCCTTTAATTCAGAATTCTGACCTCCGTACGAGCGACGTTCACGCCCTACCTCGCCGCAAAATGAAAACATCACCCGGGGGTCCCTGAGCAGTGTCGGTGTTGTGCACAGAGAGACATCACTCTCTCTTCCTCTCTCTCTTCCTCTCTCTCTCTCTCTTTATCTCTCTTTCACGCACGCGCGCGCGCGCTCTCTCGCGACATGGAGCTGGAGGAGAGGGGTTGCGGAGGAGGAAGTGGAGCAGCAGCAGCAGGAGGAGGAGGAGGTGGTGGTAGTGGCCACCACCACCACCACCACCACCAGGGCCTCTACCTCCCCGCCTGTCACGGCTACTGCGACCTGGGAGCGGTGCCTCCGTTCCTGCCCGCAGTTCACTACCCGTACCCCGCGCCGAGCGCGCTCCCTTCGGGCCGCGACGGGGGCCCTTTCAGAGCCTATGGACTCCAGGACGCAGCCATGAGACACTGGGACAACAGATTCTCCGGAGACAACGTCGCCATGATTCAACAGCACCACCACCAGCAGCAGCAGCACCAGCAGCATCAGCAGCAGCTGCAAGCGGCGCGATGTTCGGCGAGCGATGGGTTTGGAGTTCCCTCGAAGGGCGGCCGAGTGGGCGTCGAGGCGGCGGTGTTCGGCGCCATCGGAGCCGGGTTCGCCGCTTCGGTGTGCGGAGAACTCCCCTCCTCATCCTCTCCCTCCTCCTCCTCTACCGCCGGACTGCAGCTACAACAGCTACAGCAGCAGCAGCTACAACATCAGCAGCAGCAGCTGCAACAGCAGCAGCAGCAGAGACCCGCGCAGCTCGGGCGCAACGGTGTTCTACCGCAGGGCTTCGATCAGTTTTTCGAGTCGACGGCTTACGTTGGATACCACCACCACCATCATCACCATCAGCAGCAGCAGGAGCAACACGGCTCCGGCAGCTACGCCGCCACTGCGGGGGGGTCCCTACAGGGCCAGTCAGGGGGGGTGGCGACGGCGGCTGCGGCGGCTGGAGGAGGCGAGGGGGGGCAGGCGGCGCGGGCTGCCGAGCGCGAGGAGGGCGACAGCGGCGCCGAGTCCGGCGGCGGCGACGTCGGCAGCGGCGCGGCGTCCGCGGCGTCCGCGTCGCCGCTCGCCGCGCGGCCCAGCGAGCAGAAGGCGTGCGGCTCGGCGGGTACGGGGGGCAGGGGGGGGGGTCTGGTAGGGGGGGGGGGTCAGTGGCCTTCCAGCTGCAGCCCCCTCCTGCATGCCCGTGGAGGGGGGTCAGTGTGTGCGTGTCCATGCGCATACATGGACACGCACGCACACGCGCGCGCGCGCGCACACGCAGGGGTATATATACACACTGGGACACGTGCACGTACAGACACGTACAGAGACAAAGATGCCCCGCGTAGAGGGATGTGTAGGCTGTTGGGGCGAGTGTTGTTAGCGAGGAGCATCTATGAAGGCCGGCACGGCACACGATGGGGTGGGTGGCAGGCACCGCGCCCGACCGGCTTTGTCTCCCTAGTGGCGATGTTTACACACCGCACCAGGTAATTATTTGCAGCTGAGTCGACCTAGGGGATGCCCAGGACCCATTCAGATAATCGTCACTGGTGTTGGTGGGCCGTGCGCGAGCATCGAACTCGGGTCGCTGGGCTCGTAGTGCAGCGCGCTCATCGCTAACACTACCGCTCTCTTCCTGGCACACACACAGAGAGAGGGAGAGACTCCATCACGCACAAAACACACACAAGCGCACAAGCGCTAGCCCACAGGGACACTCGCACACACAAAGACTCCTTCCCTCCAGCACGTGTACAAGGAGGACCATCCCCCCTATACACACCACTTGCACGGGGACACGCCCATACTAATAACACCAAAACAGCCCCCTTCCATTCCTCGCATCATCATACAGACAACATCGTATGCACAGCCCCCACACACAGAACCTCTTACATGCAGAACATCACACCCCCCTCATAGTGCCCCCCCCCCCCCCCATATATAGAGGGAACCGTCATGCACACACATGCACCAACCCACCTCCCTACAAAAACAATAACACACACACACGTGTACCCCCATACACACATGTATCAACCAACCTCCATACACAACACACGTGTACTCCCATACACATACATCCATCAACCCACTTCCATACACAACAATAACACACACACACGTGTACCCACATACACACATGTATCAACCCACCTCTATACACAACACACGTGTACTCCCATACACACACACACATCAACCCACCTCCGTACACAAATAGGAATCCCAACAATAGCACACACACACACGTGCACCCCCAAATACACACTCATGCATCTACCCACCACCATACACAAATAGGAATCCCGACAAACACACACACACACGTGTACCCCCACATACACACACATAGAAACCTCATGAACACACATGTACACATAGAGCCCCTCTACAGATATGCTCATAAGGCCCCACCTACATGCATAGAGACCCCACTCGATATTCATTGGAACCCACAAACAAAACAAAGATCCCCGTATAGCCTTAACAGACTATTGGAAAGACACATACACACGTGTACCCCACCCCATTTCACATACGTACATAGGAAGCCCCCCCCCCCCCACACACACATAGGAAGCCCCGTACACACACCCGGAAAACACAAACACACGCACATTCAGACACCCAGAACACACACACAATCAGAGACCCCCAGCACACACACACACCTAGCACACACAAACTGTCACACCGAGCACACAAACACACACAGCGCCCCCCCCCCCCCCCAGAACACGTACACACACACACGGACACCCAGCACACATAATCTGGCACCCCGAGCAAACACACACACAGACCCTCAGCACACACCCACACACACACTGGAACACACACAATCTGGCAAACACACACACACAGACCCTCAGCACACACCCACACACACACTGGAACACACACAATCTGGCAAACACACACACACAGACCCTCAGCACAAACCCACACACACACTGGAACACACACAATCTGGCAAACACACACACACAGACCCTCAGCACACACCCACACACACACTGGAACACACACAATCTGGCAAACACACACACAGACCCTCAGCACACACCCACACAAACAGGGACCCTCAGCACACACCCACACACACACTGGAACACACACACAATCTGGCAAACACATACACAGACCCTCAGCACACACCCACACACACAGGGACCCCCATAAACATTCACACCGGGTTCACCCACCCGTCTCTTCCGGAACTGCACGACCTGCGTCATCCCACGTATACAACACACCTCGCCATGCGCGTTCTTGTCAACGTGTGTGTGTGTGCTATATACGCGTGCGTATGTGTTTGCATGTCAGTATATGTGTGTGTGTGACCTTCATGTGGGTGTGTGTGTGTCAGTCATCTCAGTCAGTCATCCCATGGCACCTGGGTCTGTCCCGTGACCTCCTGCCAGAGAGCCTTTCGACACTTCACGTGGTCTTAAAGTGCACGTAGCCTGGCACAAGCGCCTGGGGGACGTCACCGCCACTTAGTGGCGAATAGCCGTTGTTGTGGTTGTGGTGCTCTTCCTAGAGGTGGCTGGCTAACAGCACTTGCCCGCAACGGCGTGTCAAAGGCGATATTGGGGGGGGGAGGGAGTCTTTGTTGTGAACGTGGTTGCGAGAGTATTTCTTCCCAGTCTTCCCACTCCACGAGCCCATAAGCACCTGGGATCCGTCTCGTGACCGCCCTCCTGTCAGCGAGCCTTCGACACTTCACGTGGCCTCAAACGTGCACCTAGCCTGGCACAAGCGCCCTTGGTCACGTCACCGCCACTTGAGTCGGCGAACGGACCCGTTGTCACTTGCGCCTTAACCGCACACACGGAGAAAGCAATGCGCACGCATTGAGGTGCACTGTATGAACTGTAGGCAGTAGCGACGCCTATCCAGACATTGGCACATTTCCCGCATTTAAAAAAAAAAACCTACAGTATTTCATACACAAAGATAAAGATCCCCCTTACAGCCTTAACATACTTTTGTGGCAAGTGCTGTTAGCAAAAGTAGCACCGATTAAGGCCGGCACGGTGCACGGGGAGGTGGGTGGCCAGCACCAGGTTACTCACCGCAGCAGATTACTAATTTGCGGCTGAGTCGACCTAGCAGAGACCCAGGACCGGTTCAAGATATTCGTCAGCGGTGTTTGGTGGCGGTGAGCGGGAATCGATCTCGAATCGTCCGGTTCGTAGCGTAGCGCATCGCAAACCGCTACACTACCGCTCCACACATTTTCACACACACACACAGACACTCTCGCACTCACGGATATGGAAAAGGAAACATTTGGCCGCGTATCAGCAACGTGCGTTGTTGTACGGCGTCTTCTCTCGCCCGACTGTTTCGCACGCGTGCAAACCGCACGAGTACTACGCTTACATTGGTTAGCCTTTCCTTAACGACCATCTTGTACCAAAAAAAAACCCATATCCATCCTCTACGGCCGTGCACATTGCAGCGTTTAATGTGTGAGTGTGTGTTTTCTTTTCTTACTCCCGTCTACAGCTCCATGTGCCTTGCAGGGGATTTGAGACCCGGGTCTCTTGGGCTCCGATTCACGAATCCCGTTGCGCGTGTTATTGGCGAATGTTTATTTTGCGTGTGAGTGTGTGCCTGTGGGGAGCGGTAGTTGTAGCGGTTCGGGAGCTGCGCTACGAATCCGGCAACCCGAGTTCGATTCCCGCTCACGGCCACCAACACCAGTGACGATTATCTGAACCGGGCCTGGGCCTCCCCTAAGTCGGCTCAGCCTCAAATTAGTACCTGGTTACGATGTATAAATATCGCCACTACGGAGATAAAGGCAGCCGGGCGTGGTGCTGGCCAACCTCGCGTGCTGTGACGGCCTTCATAGGCGCTACTCGCTAACAGGACTTGCCCCACAAGTCTGTTAAGGCTATACGGGGGATCTTTGTCGTGTCTGGATTATTGGACAAATATGCGCCGCCAGTGTGTGTGTCGTCTTACATCACCAAAACAATTGTTGGATAGAGTATCAAATTCATGAAGGCGACGATGGGCCAAATCGATTTCAATCCTTGACGTAATCGGCCGATGAACGCAATTTTCTGTTTTGGGCCACGCGCCTGTCCCATTGTTCGGAACGGATGGCATCGCTCGACGCCGTCGTCAGGGGAATACATCTGACGACATGTAACGTGCGTGGGAATTGACGTTACATCTGGCGCGATGGGTTTTGACAAATCTGCTGAAGACGTGAATCCGGCTCGTAACTTTAGATTTTTTAAATTTCTGATATAAATTCGCGATGGCGGGGCTATTGGCATAGCCACCGTTGCAGGCGATGCGACTGTACCTTCACTCTGCTGATGAGACCCAGATGGTCGAAACCAGCACAAAGATTGCCTGCTTCACCGAATGTGGCTGTAAACCGTTGGTCCGGAAAGTCACTTAGGCCGATGGGCTTTCGAAAAAAACAAGTACAGTAAGTGTTATCCTTCGAGACTACATTTTTGTCTCTTTATTTAGGCGTGCATTTATTATTTTGTTGGCAATTGTCGAGCGTTGTTTGTTTGCTAGCTATTAATACATTACATGTTTAATTAACGTATTACTTTTCTCGAGCGTCGTCGATCGCGTGAATTGTCACTCACAATCGGCGATGAACCACGGGCAAGCTTGTGAAGTCAGCAGCCACGCGGCGAGCCGGCTCCAACGATTACTCCGAGCTCCGCAGTCCTCTATATATATATCTCAAGAGGTGTTCAGCCAATGTGATTGGTGGGACGAATCCGGAGCACCCCCCCAAAAAAAGCCCACGCGTGCAAGGGAGCAACGCGCTATTCCATACAGAAGGGACAGATAATATCACTTTGCTGTGCCGCATGCTTCTGGCATCTCAACGCCCGCGAGTGAAGGGAGTTGCACAACACTTCGTGTGATCCACCAATCCTTGATCACAGGCCCCGTGCTGAGCCGTCACTCTCCGACGCGTGGAGCGAATATTCACTGTTGTCTGTTTACTCCCAAACATCGGACCGAGCGTGGTCACGAGCAACGTTCTTTATTTAGCCATGGAAATGTCAGAGTCTTAGGACTCGTCTTCAGCATATTGTGATTGGAACCTTTCGGCCAATTAACGTATTCGTTTCGTAAATACGCGAGGTAGCCAGAGTAAACGGAGAATACCCCCATACTTATAAGGTGCTAAAACTATTCATCACTGATCGACATCGGCTTTGAATTCAACAAAGTAGTTGTTTTGATTAACGATGCACGGATTACGCTTAAAAGTGTCACGAAGCTATTCGCAAGAATTTCAAACTGCCCGGTTGTGTCATCCATGTTCTTCTTACGATAATGCAGCATTTGTTAAGTGCATCACTTTCGCATGCCTCCCCACTCACTTCGGGCATACTTAGAACGATTGAATCGACGAGTGAAACCGAAGTAACCATCCAAGCGACTCGGATTTGACGCTTCGCATGTCTCCGGCCTTACGAGAGACCGTTTTAGCGCCCACGTGGAGAGTCGCTTCGCTCCAATCCGGACCACGCGCGCCGGCGATGATTGATGGCGCTACACGGCCGAGCATCTGCGCGCGTGGGGGGGTGCGAATTTAGGGGGGGCACATGGGTCCGTGCGTGTGTGCATATGCGCCTGTGTGTGTGTGTATGTGTGTGCATGTGGGGGGGGGGGAGCGGTAGTGTAGCGGTTAGCGCGCTGCGCTATAAACCCAGCTTCTCGAGTTCGATTCTCGCTCACGGCCAACACCAGTGACGATTATTTTAACCAGTCATAGACGTCCCCTAGGTCGACCCAGCCTGAAATGAGCACCTGCTGCGGTGTGTAAATATCGCCACTCGGGAGATAAAGGCGGTCGCACGTGGTGCTGGCCACTCACCCCGTCGTGTGCCGTTCCGGCCTTCATAAGTGCTCGCTAACAACACTTGCCCCAACAGTCTGTTAAGGCTATACGGGGGATCTTGTCTATTTGTTTTCTTTCCCTTTCTGCGCACGTGTGTGTCGCAACAACAGCCGGTCGGAGCCCCCGGAAGAAGCGCTGCCCCTACACCAAGTTCCAGACGCGCGAGCTCGAGCGGGAGTTCTTCTTCAGCGTCTACATCAACAAGGAGAAGCGACTGCAGATCTCGCGCCTACTCAACCTCACCGACCGCCAGGTCAAGATCTGGTTCCAGAACAGGCGCATGAAAGAGAAGAAGCTGAACAGGGATCGAATGCAGTACTTCGCGGCCAACCCGCTGCTATGAAGGGCCGTCGTTGCTTGTCGGCGAATGTCTGTGTCTGTGCGTGTTGATGATGCGCCTGTGTGTCCGCGTGCACGTCAGTGTACGTGTCTCTGTTGTAAGCGGTTAGCGCTCTGCGCTAAGAACCCAGCGGCGAAGCGAGTTCGATTATTCCCGCTCATGGCAACCAACACCAGTGACAATTATCTGAACCGGTTCTGGGCCTCCCCTATGTCAACTCAGCCTCAAATGAGTAACCTGGTGCAGTGTGTAAACATCGCCACGGGAAGAGACAGAGGCGGTCGGGCGTGGTGCTGGCCACCCACCCCCTCGTGTGCTGTGCCGGCCTTGATAGGTCTTCGCTAACAGCACTTGCCAAATTAATCTGTTAAGGCGATACAGGGGATCTTTGTCTTGTGTTTGCTGCGTAGGTTTGTTGTGTTGTGAGGAGAGGTGGCGCAGTGGTTAGCGTACAGCGTTACGAAGCCGACGACCTGGGTTTCCATTTCCGCCCGGCCACGGCTAACATCATTGGCGAGTATCGTCTCCGCTCGGCATTAAATTAGTTGTCCCTACTGCGGCGTGTGAAAACATGAAGCACTGCGATAGCAGGAAGGAAAGTACGCCAGGTGTGGTAGCGATGATGATGGCAGTCTCTCCACGGCTAGAGCGGGGATGTGTTGTGTGTGTGTGTACGTGTGTACATGTGTACATGTGTGAGCGGTGGTGTAGCGGTTAGGGCGCTGCACCACGAACCTGGCAACTCGAGTTCAATTCCCGCTCACGGCCAACACCAGTGACGATTATTTGAATCGGTCCTGGGCCTCCTCTAGGTCGACTCAGCCTCAAATGAGTACCTGGTGTGGTGTGTGAACATCGCCACTGGGGAGACAAAGGCGGTCGGGCGTGGTGCTGGCCAGCCACCCCTTTAGTGTGTCGTGCCGGCCTTCATAGGTGCTCGCTAACAGCACTTGCCCCAACAGTCTGTTACAGGCTATACGGACGATCTTTGTCTTTGTGCACACAGGTTACGACACGTTACAGTTCACAAGTGTGTTCGCTGCTGATGATCATGATGATACGGGTGGTGACGAGAGCCACAAGTGCAAGACGGATGATGATGATGATGACGATAATAATTTTATGATGGTGATGATGTATAAAGTTTATATGTCATATATAAAGGTAATAATGTATTATCTTTATATAGAGATTTAATAATAATACTGTATAGACTTATATGAATATAGCCTATGAAACAATACAGCTGGCCTATTTGGTTTGAGTGCGGTGAAGATTGACTTGGGGTTTTTTTTCCCTTCTATTTACAAGAAGCAAGTCGTTTTTATCTTTTTGTACACGCGTGTTCAATTAACTATTACATAAATTATTGCAAGATGCTGTACGCGACTGATGAAAGTGCGGGTTTATTTGCGACGTGTGTAGGTAGTTAGGTGGTCACCTGTCTCGATACCAAAACGAATGAATATTCGAATGATTACAGACGCGTTGCACTCTGTTCACGTTGTGTACCCACGCGTTGACTGGAGCGGTGTTTGTTTAGCTGTGATTAAAGCCATATACGAGTGTATAAATATATAAATATATCTCCGTTTGTACAAGATAAATGCGAAAATGCAATTCACACGCACAGTGTAACAACAACAACAACGACGATCACAACAATAACAACAACAATATGGGTTACGTTGCGCGTGCGTTCGTGTTATGACGTCATATTTGAGTTTACGTTGCACGCGGTCGATGCCCGATTTCTAAGTTGTTTGGTGAATGCCAATTTTGGTTTTTATTTAGCCGGGTGGGGGTGGGGGGGGGGTCAGATTATTAAAAAAATATTTTTTTCTGGTGGTCGTAAAACTTTGCCGAAGCTTTCTCCATCGCCGACAAAGTACGGGAGGCAAATCGACAATTTGAAGGTGGAGTGTTGCCAATATCGAGGCGTTATGCAGATTGCTGTTGCATGGAACAGTCGCGCGGTGTGTCTGTGTGCGTTGTTGTAAGTTATTATATTGTCCATAACCCGTCACGTGGCTGTACAATGTGTGTGTGCGCGCGCGTGTGTGGTTCTCGTTTTTAGTGGGCATGCTGCGATGCTTCGTGTTTTATTATAATTAACACTACTCCTACAATTGTTATTGTTATCATTGGTATCAATATAATTACGCGCACAGTAAAGTTTATATATATTAAAGTCTTCCTTATATAAATACGATAATCCTCTACCCATTTAATTGCTGGTGAATTTGGGGGGGGGGGACAAAAACAAGTCCATATGTACACGATAATATATATTAAACAAAGAAAACCCAACTGTGCATTCACACGCAGAGAGAGAGAGAGAGACACGTGACACAGTCACGTGACACAGTCACGTGTGTGTACGCTGCCCAGTTGCGAGCGGTGTGACGACACAATGGCGGCTCCCTGAAACCGAGTGTAACTCGAACACACACTCAACACATTTGTCAATAACAACCCCGTGTCGCCTTTAAAAACAACATAAGCGACGTTTCGGGCAATGCCCCTTGTTCATTGCCATTTTACCAGAAAACGGACGCCTATTAAATATATATTTCCCAATTTTTAAGGCCAAAATGCTCTTATTGACGAATATGTTTAGTTTTGCACCAACTATCTACTGGAAATCTGTGAAAACGAGCTTTATAGCTCATCGGATTCCTCCATTATGAATAAATATTCGGATTCTGATGAAGGCAGTAGTAGCAGCAGCACCAAAACAAATATCTGTTCAATCGCGGGCGCCTCATTGTGGCCATCGGAAAACGATGATGATGATAATTCTTGACTGTAAATGCTAATATGTCAGCTCTCTAGCATCTTGGTGGCGTGAGTGCGGGGTTGGTGCGGGGGGGGGGCGCAGGGGGGGGAGGGGTAGTGGTGGAGGGCGGTTATGAAACTCACAAACCATGCCAATTCCGGTGCAAGGGACCTTCTCTTAATCACCGACAATTACCGGGAGAGCTTTATACATTCGAGTGCATGAGAGTGTGTATGTTGCGTGTTTGTGTGTGTGTGTATGGGGGAGCGTAGCGGGTTAGTCGCGCTGCGCTACGAACCCGGCGAACCGAGTTCGATGATTCTCGCTCACGGTCAACACCGGTGACGATTAACTGAATCGGTCCCGGACCTCCGCTAGGTCGACTCAGCCTCAAATGAGTTAACCTGGCACGGTGTGTGAACATCGCCACTGGGGATACAAAGGCGTGGTGCTGGCCAACCGACCGCTCGTGTGCCGTGCTGACCTTTATAGGTGCTCGCTAACAGCACTTGCCCTACAAAGTATTTTCGGGCTAGAATGGGAATCTTTGCCGTTGTATGTATGTGTGTATACGGTATATATATACAATATATATATATATATATCAATCGTATACACTATACATAGAACGAGGGGCTGGTCATCTTAAATTTAAAGAATGATAATGTAGAATTTTCTCTCCATCAAAGGCTTTGACACGAGGCACATTTTGCAATCTAGACAACCGTAAGAGTATAGGCGAGCGTATAAAACCGAATAGGGGTCATACAAACTCAACACGTTGGTCAATAGCGCTGCCCTAAAGAGGAACGCGTGTATGTGTATGAAAATACGTTTTTGGAAATGGTCCTTCTTCATAGGACCTATGAAAAAGCAACTATGAAGAAGGCAAATTGCCATAAACGTCACTCATTTTAGACTCACAATATATATATACTCACAATATAAATATCCTCTTTCGGGCAGTGTTAACGACGGATATGTTGAGTTCTTTATTAGCTGGGGTTGTACACTTGGCTCTAACACAATATCACAAAGTAAATGTTTTTGCGGGTTTTAAATGTGAACTAGAAAGTGTTTAAAAACATTAGCTTAAACAATATATATAATTACAAACATCACGATGTGGAAAAATTTGACCGCCCACTCACGTTGTGTGTGCGTGCAATGCACGTAGAGTAACCACATGTACACGTGTGTGTGTGTGTGCGTTGCACGTAAAACAACTACATATATACGTGTGTGTGAGCACAATGTACTTCAAGCAACGACATGTACACGTGTGTTTGCAATGCAAGTATAGCAACCACGTGAATACGTGTGCGTGTAATGCACGTATAGGAACCACATGCACACGTGTGTGTATGTGTGTGCAATGTACTTAAAGCAACTACATGTGTTCGTGTATTTGCGTACAATGCACGTATAGCTACCACGTGTATACGTGTGTGTGTGTATACGTGTGCAGGAGTGTGGTTTGGAATGCATTTAACTCCTGCCGAAGGGCACATTCAGAAGTATCTTTTTTTTACAAACTTCGAAAGTTTATAAACGATCTTTTAGTGTGTGTCTGTTCACGCTGCATATGCTATGATGTGTTTGCCATTCCTGCACCAAACGACACGGAAGAGGAGCGTCTAATACCAGTCACACCAACACCCACTGTGAAACACAAAGGTAAAAACTACTTTTATAGAACGCGGTTAGCAGCTCAGAGAGTGTGGACGTGATGTTGCTCCAATAACTATCTGGTTTTGTTTTCTTTTACGGTGGGGGGGGGGGAGGGGGTGCTTTTAATAAACGACGGCACATTCAAATACATCAGCAAAAATAAGAATCCTGTTTGGAATTTGTCTTACACGTTGTATTTAAATAAACAGCAAAAAAAGGAAGTGTTTTACGTGATTTTATTTTTACACTATTTAACGCCGATCATGTCTGTATCCTATACACTGGAAATTCTAAATGTTTGACTTGCCAACTGAACTGTAAATAAAGGTCGGTAATCTTGATTTGAAGCTTTCGTGACTACAGGAGTCCATACACTTTGGATTTTTCGGTAAAGTCACGTAGGTATATAAAGGTCGGTAAGTATCACCCCTACGTTTTAAAATTCATATTTTCGATTGTAGAATCCTATTAAATGAAGCAAACACTATTATAGACTGCGTAAATCACAAATAAAACATTTAAACGGACGGTTAACTAAGTTGCCTCTTTGACAGGTCAGGTCAGGTAAGTCGATTGATGCGAGGTCGCTTTCACAAGTATAGGACATGGACATATTAACGCAAAACATTTACAAGAAAACATGCAAGCGGAAAAGTTTTTCTGCAATCTCCACAACAACAGAGCTGATACCCAGCAACAATAAGTCGCATTGTGCATACACGCAAAACAATAAATAAACCTCGACTCTTAATTAAAAAACACCCTTTCATACACACCACAATCTTAACACGATGTAACAGAACATACGTCTGTTACATTTATATTTACTATAATTATATATGCTATTTTAATTGTTGGCGAATGTAAGTCAAGACGATCAGTGTGTATGTATATAATGTATAGAGCCTATGTACATAGGCCACGCGTGACACACGTGCATATACAACCTTATGAAATGGACTAATAATTGAAATAGTTGAATGATTAATTCATGACAAAGCCTTCTTGCGCAGTGACCCGGTCGAGAGTGTGAGGCACGTGGAGGCCTAGCCATTCAGGCCTGAAGCCTCACGCAGTAGGCCCATGGCTGCATGCTCACAGTGTGTGCTGGCAATATTGTATGGAGCCCCTCGCTTATTCATGAAGTTAGACCTGCAGTGACCGATGTATTGAACGATGACGATCATCATCGTCGTCAGCCATGAACTGTCTACTGCTGGATGAAGGCCTTCACAATCCCTGCACCGGTCTGGCGACGCAATAACCTTAGCTAGCCATCATTTCGTCTCTCTCAGGTGAGGTCCTCCCGGGCGCGTTCCCTCCTTTGGCTGTCACTCCGATGTTCGTCTCGGCCGTGGGTCACCACCACCTTCCTTCGAAGCCTCCGACGTCTCCTACCCAGGGGCCCACCGACGCACGCGTCGTATTCTCATCATAACAGTCGATGCGATGTCTCCAACCCTAGGTGTTCATGTGCGTACGGTACGTCGAACTTCTTTTGCGCCATACGTGGCCAACCGCTCGCGAATCGGAGGTGCGGGCAGGACAACAATCTAGACAGACACACACACAAAGATACAGCAACGTAACCCAGTGTGCTACAAGAGAACGTTTTAAATCGATGTATATAATACCTGCTATTAAATACAGGATGAAAAGAAACACGGGCATTGTTTAATAAAATATAACAAAAACAAGTGCAGACAGCATGGCATAAAGGTGCCTACGTGGAATTAGAACGAGATGCACAAATTGGAAAACGTACATCGTAATTAACATTGAATTTATGCCAATATTCTGATATCCACCGCACTTGTGTATAGAAAAATAACTCCTTATAGACAATGCTAATCACACAGCAGTACACCACAACTTGAATCGGCAACGCTCCTAAATGCGAAGTGACTCAAGACGCGGTACAATTGCGTGAATCATGGGCATGGAAGTTTGAAAAGAAAAAGATAATTTGCGTGGATAAAGTTCGAGGTGAGAGGCCTCGGGCCAGAGAGGAAATACATGACAGGTAAGAGTTATAATTAAGGCACGAGAAGCATGGGGAGATAGATGCTCGAGATTGCAGCGAGGCAGACAAGAGGAGGGAGGCATTGATCATGGAGCAACCGCGTCAACCACGCAAGAGACGTGGCATCGTTTGTGAATGAAGGTGGATTGGGCGGCACACGTCACTGTAGGGTGACGATAGCAGATGGCAGCGTGGCGGCCCAAATGAGGAACGCTCCAGTGACAACGACGACCAGCCACGAGATCAACCAGATGCGCAAGAGCGAGCATCTCGGGACCACGAGGGAAGGTGAGGGCAGAGGGATATCTTCATCCAACG